TCATGCTCTCCACAAAAGAATTCTAAAAGACAGCTGCAAACACTGAATGACCGCCTGCTCTCTTCCTAGGATGCGTTCACTGTTTCCTATTGATACACATTTTGATGTGTTGTGTTTTCTGATACCTTTTTATAAGAGTCCACTTTTGATAGATTCTGACCACCATAGAATAGAGACATTCACCCTTGCAGTTTTGCTGATGCTCTGACACAGTCATGGCATTTACCGATTTGGAGATGGAGCTTAAACTTCTGTGTTTTTTTTTTCCTGCTAAAATCGCATCAAATTGGAGGGAAAGAATGATTATTCTATAAGGTGCAATAAGAAAGAGGTAATCTATTTTACTCACTTTATTTGTCTGTAGTCTCCCTGCTATGTTTTACTCTGTTTGCAACACCAGTTTCAGCATTAATTTTTGAAACAGAAATTGTCTTATCAGCATATTTCAGCAGCTTGTCTCTTCCACACCAGTTCTGTATTAACCTTCCTTTGTAGCGTCAGAAGTTTTATGTGTGTCAAAAGAAAAGAGGAAGCGAGAGTCCTCATCTACATGTCCAGGCAGAAACTTCTGCAATCTGTCAAGTGGTGTGTGTAAAGCAGCAGAGCATGTTCTTTACTCTGTGTACTTGGCCTCAAACCTAGTCTGACTTGTTGAGGTGTGTTCTGTTTTTTTCCCACTGAGCTATGCCGTAGAATGGGACTCTGATGGGACTCCCCCTTTATGGTTTACAAAGGAAGCTGAATGGAATGAGTGAAATGTTGATTACAAAACAATGTTTACTTGTCACTCTCTACCCAATGTGTGGAAGGACTTATGTTAAAGATTAGCCATTCATGCAGTAACAGAAACACAGCAAAACACAGCAAACATTGTCGGCTTGAAAACAGCTGACAAACTTTACATTTTGGGACATCTGCAGTGCTGTCATGTTTATCTGAAACTTCTATATTGACTTTTTTATGATTCTATATGAATTACATTTATTATAAGACAGTAATTGTTGTCATTGTAATAAAGAAAAGTGGTTATTCTTCTATTAGTACAAATGCTGGAAAGTAAGAAAAGCAGCCTTCAAAAAAAGAGCCCAGAGTTTGCTGTTGTAAAACTAAACTACACACAAAATTATTGTGGCATAGGCCTACATTATTTACAATTGTGCTACTGTGTTAAAGTTCATCGGTTCCTGTCAACTATCTATGTTCTGGTTCCCGCGCTCGTGTTTTGTTGAACATTCCTAGTCGCCATAGTAACGCCCAACCCCTTTCGCGTCAGTGACGTATGTGTTTGTCAACAAAGATCGTCAGTGTTGTCAGGGAGTATCACTTAAACAAAAAAAACTGTAACCTGAGCTCCTCCACGTCGATTTAAGGAGAGCTAAGTTACCAGCAAACCGCGTCAGAGTGAGACCTCTGTCCTTTTTTTGTGCGTTTAGTGCTCTCGCTGTATTTCACCATGGTGCTTCAAGAGCAGTGGAATGAAACAGGACACCAAACAACTCAGTTTGTTTGACGAATTGGCAAGAAAAGAAGCTTTCATGTCACCCTGAATTGTTTGTTTATACCTGGTGAAGTTTAACCAGAGGAAAGTAAAGTACAAAAAAATCTATATATCTATAATAACAATTAGGTCTATTATGGATTTTTATTTATCTTAATTGCATCGCGAAACGAACTTACCTAATCAATAACAAAATACTGATTTTGACTTTCTATCTTGTTTATTTGCTATTCATTTTTAACTCTAAGTAAAGTTAATGCAGAAAATGTTGCCTAATTTACCCCATTTACTTTGAACTCTGTATGTTACTTTGTGAACATTCAAGCTGATATGCGGCTGTGGTGACAGCTGTCAAATGTTTCAGCCAACCTTTTGAACTCTTTTTGTTTTGAGTCGCTTGCAAGACTGAATAGGTTCGGCGCGACCACCCAGCTTTGTGCCGGTAAAAGAGCCCAGAGGGCTGCCGGGAAGCCTCTGGCAACGCGTTGCCCCTCTGCTCTGATCTGTGAGGTCATCCGAAAATCTAAATATAGCCTGTCCAGTTGAATTAGATTATATGTGAAAATAATAATAATAATAATAATAATAATAATAATAATAATAATAATAATAATAAAAGAAAAAAAAAAACGCACATCAATATTATTGATTAATTTGACAGAAAAAGGAAAGTAAAAAAATAAAAAAATAACATAAATTTGAGGTTTGGATACAAGTATTAAGGAAACCGAAAAAAAATGGCTCAATTTAAGACATATTCGGGTTATGATGATAAAAATCATTGTGAATTTCCTTCGAACGGTTGAAGGATTTAATGTGACGCGATAAAGACAAATTTGTGACGGCCGCTGCTTGTTTCACTTTTCTCTTGCGGTGAGTTGTCATGCCAGAGTGCCAATACATGCACAATAAAACACGCGCGCGCGCTCTCGCGCAGTCCGTCTGCGAGCTGGTCCACCGGAAGAGCCATATTTGGCTCGACTGGTCCTTTCGGCGATTGGCTGCGTTGTTCCTCGGAGTGTTGCTGCATGCATGAAGAGAAGTATACAATGTGAGGTCATAGATGCGGTCAAAGAGCATCTTCGCGGAGTTGGTTGATAATTACATCAGCATGGCTCTAATACCTGATAGAATTTAAACAGCATAGAAAGTGAAAGATAAAAAGCACCTCATCTGTCCATCCAGTGGTTTCTAATGCGATGTCGTGATGTATGATGGGGTGGGGGGTGGGGTGGGGGGTGCAGATGCTGCATACATAACGTGACGTAGTTCATTCATGGCGGTGGGTTCCTTCTGTAGGTAGGGGTGTCACTTAACAATCACACGCTATTTGTGGACCGTTGCGTAAATAAAATGCACTGCAATGATATACTTGAGAAGTTTTGTTGAGCAGGTCCTATATCAAATTGAAAAAAAAATTAAAACAAACTTTACCCCCGTTTTCTGTATCACAGTTCCTTCTGCGCAAATGGTTCGGTCTCGCCACACAGATTTCATTCATAAAATTCGGGCTCACTATAAAAGGCGGTCCTCTCCACTATATCTGCACAGTTACCGTTTCTGACAAATGGGATATAAGTAGGTGATCAATGAAGGGGGATCAGCTTTTTAGATAGACATTGTCAGATAAGACATTTATTTCTTTACCTTCTTATGCATTAATAATAGAAAAGAGAATTATAGGCTACTAAAAAATGCAACCAGACTCCAGCTCTGAGGTAGACTCATCCTCCAGCTGCAGCCCGGCAGCGCCTGGCGGGGACACCCCTGGGCGCAGCCTGCGTCCTCCTCCTGACTCGCTTTCATCATCAGTGGACAGAGACAAGGTAGATTCCATTCTGATCATTAAAGAGGAAACCATACAATTCCAATAAATATAGGTTGATATTAATCATTTCAGCCTGCATTTTGGTTCAAGTTGATGTAAATATTTATTGAAATGGTGAAATTCCAGCTATATTAGTCTGTGGTAGCAGCACAATTGTTTTCCAAAAGTTATATATATATA